TCTGGGTATGGGAAGCACACACAGGCTTTCTGCACAGCACCTTGGTAACAGGAAGTGATGCAGCAAATGGTCACATGACCACTCCCAGGAGGCTGGTGACAACCAATGTTTACTAAGGTTCATCTAACAACAGTGTGGAGTTCTGTAAAGCCATATAAAACACATCAGACAAATTCTTTCCACAACAAGGTTATAGAAATTGGAAGTAATATAATTCTTGTTATATGTCTTTGCTTATATATTGTAAATCCTGTTAATACCTATGACATACAGTACAGTATATAAGTGGATTTGTCATGACTAGTACTTCAGGATGAGGGATGCTTTACTTGATTATTTGGCCATCTGTTAGAAATAACCGGTGGTGGGCTAAAACAGTATATATCCTGTTGGATGCTGGAGGATATTAGGTGGTGACTATAGCCTGGAATCAACATTGACTGATAAGTGGTACAGAATTTTTTAGTGCCGGTTTGGTGAATATAACATTAACTTCAGCTAATAGTTAATGTTATGCTAATTCAGCTAATTCAGTTAGGACTCTAATTTGTGTGACTTAAGAAGCTGAGATGAAGCTGAGATGAATTTACTAAGGTAAGCTTCTTTTAATTTTCAAATACAGATTTCAAATGTTGTGATCCCCTTTAAATAAAGAAATACATGGCAGCAGATACTGTATATTGCACATAAGCAAGCAAGAACATAAGTTACAAATAAGAAAAGACCCTTTGCCATTTCTAGCTCATTTGATAGCTGCTTAATGATCTGAAGATCTCATCTGCTCATTTCTTGAAGAAACCAGGGTCAAGGAGTCTATTCTATGGGTGGGTCACTTGTTCTATATTCCTTCATGTTGTGGAGCCAGCCATGTCACAATAATAATTCACTAATCCTTTATCTTCATTTTTGCTTTTATCTGTTGTTATATTCTTATGATACAGTATAATTGTGTGATGGAAGCTCTCCTTGATCCTGACATGATTCAATCACAACCACTAGCAAGCCCAGAGCCACACAGAACCACTTTCTAGACAGCAGGGAATTCTGCCGCACCACAGAGACTGGATCTTCAGATACTCCAGAGCTATAAACTGTCTAGGTTTCAGAGAGGGGTGATGTCACTTCTGTGAATTGCTCAGCGCTATGAGCCCAGTTACACTTGTTTAGAATTTTTTTTTAATTTTCTTTAACTGCACAAGGTGTGACCTCAGAAAAAATAATAACTTAAGATGAAACAGGGCATGTAAAAACATCAATAATATATATATATATTTATAAAGGATTAAAAGATAAACATGTAAGATATTAACATTGTATGTTATTGAATTGACCTTAGCATACTTAGATGCCAGGTGGAAATGTGAGTTACAGTATGTACTAGAGTGACATGTTGGAAATGTGACAAGACAGGGAAAATGCACTTGATTTATCAAGCTGTGGGAAGCAGTTCTTCTTTTGGAAGATGCAGTGGCTGTTAACTACATGTGGCCACTGTAAAAAGATAATACAACCACTTTTCAAAACACACACAATGACCTTGGGAGCAACTCCCATCCATAATGGCCCAACTCTCTGATTTTCCCAGCCTACCAAGCAATTTTAAATATTTTAATTTGGTATTGCTGAGCTGAATATTAAACCCTCTGGTATTCTCAGGACTTTATTGTTGTAACTAGAATATTTGAATTGTAGAACACAATGAATACAATGAACTAGAATCATTGAATTGTAATCACCCAACAATAGTTGGACAATATCTTACTCTTTTCACCTGAGACACTAGCATATACTGTAGCATACACAGTACATATTCAATATAGATCGCAAAGTAAGCATAGACATTTTTACAAATTTTACAAATATTGTGGAAATCAAAGAGTATTTGTATTAATAATACATTTTAACAAAGCCAACTAAATTGTTATTCTTAATTTTAATTTTCCAATATGTTTTATTTTAATTTTCCAATATTTTAGTGAGAACATATTGAGAGCATCAAAAATAATAATAAATTACATCACTCCATTTTGAGCATACACCTTAAATTACATTTAGTGTCCTGTATTCAATATACTGCTGCACTAGTGCAAACCTGAAAATAAGTATAAAGAGGAGTGAAGTAACTAATGTTTAAAACCGAGGAAAAGAAGCTTTTCATTTTTCTGAGTTAATTGTTCGATAAATATTAGCAGTCGTTATTTGTTAGCTTTGCTGCCTCTCAGCACTGGGGCCCTAGGTTCAATTCTGAATCTGGGGTGCTATCTGCGTGGATTTGTATGTTCTCCCCATGTTTAGATTTCCTCTGGGTGCTCCGGTTTCATGGAGTAGTTCGAAAACATACCTAATAGTTAATTGACTTCCATGAAAAACTGTTGCTTGTGTGCATGTGTGCATCTTTGCATGTGATTGCACCCTGCAATTAAATGGCGTCCTGTCCAGACCAGGATGTATTCCATCTTGTGCCTTTTGCTTGCCAAGAGCGCCTATGACTCCCTTGCG